CGAAATGTCCCAATCTGAGACTGTCACATCTTCCAATTTTTTTTGAGAAGCCAAATACTTGGACATATATATGAAATCTTGTAATATTTAAAATCTGACAACTAATTTTTTAAACATTGTGCAAACCCACAGGACACCTCCATTTATGAGGATGATGAGGGTCAGCATTTGGAACGGGGAGGAGCAGGAACCCTCTCGAAGGCCACCGTCACAAGGGCTGCATTGGTGACTAGAGGAGGGTGCTTGTCACCCACTCCAGTCTGTAGTCAAGGGTTTCAGAGCCAATCCCAGAGGCAGCCCAGGTGCCCACAGTGGGGAGGTCAATCGTGTGAGGGGGTGTGCCCCGCAAGCCCATGGCCCAGCTCCAGCCCGAGCAACCTCCAGTCCATGGGGAGGGCCAGCTCCTTGGAGCGGCTCTCACATTTTCCACCTCGAATTAGGCCCTGTCTTCCCCAGAATACCATTCAGCCCCAGCCAAGCAGAACTGATCTTGCGTCCCGGAGCCTCCTGGAGCCGGCTTTAAACACTCTTCACAGCAGGTTATTGGATCTTGATTTGAGGAATGCATTCAGCTGAGTCATCGTCCCCAAACAATATGAGAAATTAAACGTTGGGCATGCTCCTGATCCCAGAGCCAATTACACGGGCCACTCCCCGCAAGCAGCCCCCGCACCCCCCAGAGAAGGTCCTGCTGAGAAACAGAGCGTGAACCGTTCCCCAGATGAAGATGCTGCACTGGGCCAGGCCCTGCACAGGATGGGGTGGGGGCTTCATAGAAGCCAAGGAGGCACAATCAGCCCCACATTATAGGTAGGGAAACTGAGGCACAGAGCACAGGAAGCCTGCCAGCTCACTTGAGGAAGTGGCAGAGCTAGGAGTGGAAACGAGTTGGCTCTATGCTCCAAAGGTGTGCACTCCAGACCCCGCTCTGCTATAACCGCCCCAGGCGCTCTCAGTCCCATCGCAGCAATCCTTTGGGCATTTCTCTGCATCCTTCAGACTGGCTTTGGAGGGGGTGCAGGCTCCTCATTTTGGTGCAATGGCCCAAGAGACAAGACTCGGGGCCATTCCAGTGCTGAGGGTGTTTCTATCAGATGTGACAGTACGGGGCAGTGGTGAGAGGCCTGGACTCAGTCAGATTGCCTGGAGTCAAAACCCACCCTACCATGTATTTGGCCATGTGACCTCACCCCTTCAGGTTTCCTCGTCTGTAAAGTGGGGCCGTATAACCCATGGTGAGTGTTTAGAATGCTGCCAGAACACAGTGTTTAGAACTACTGTCATATCCCGCCTAAATAATCGACCAAAAACACGTGCGGTGCCAGATGACCCTGCCTTCCTCTCCGATGTGACACGTGAAAGCCAGCTCCTCCCATTCACACCTTTCACACCTGATGTTGTTAAGGGGGACAGTTTGGTAAAATTGCTCTCCGTCCCCCTCCACTGACCTGGGTCCTCCTGAGAGGGGTGTTGCGACCCAGGTAAAGTCAGGCTGCAGATCTGGTAAGGTCCCAGGACCTTGCACGGCGTCAGGAGGTCAGAGGGACAGAGGCTCTAACGCCACTTGTTATGGCTGAAGTGCGTCCCCCCAACACTCATGCACTGAAGCCCCAGCCCCCAGCACCTCTGCAGGGGACTGCATTTGGAGATTTGGCCTTTACAGAGGTGACTAAGGTGAAAAGAGGCCATTGGGGGTCCTAATCTAATCTGACTGGTGTCCACATAAAGAGAGGAAATTCGGACCCAGAGAGACACCAGGGACCCCACACACAAAGGGAAGACCACTCGAAAAGGCAGCAAGGGGGTGGCTGACTGCAAACCCAGGAGAGGGGCCTCAGAGGAAACCAACAGTGGACCCCTTGATCTTGGAATTCCAGCCTCCAGAACTGTAAGAAAATAAATCCGTTGTTGAAGGCCCCCATCTGTAGTACTTTGTTATGGCAGCCCTGGCAAACCCATATATCACTGGCCATGCGTTCACCCGTCATATCACCGTGCTCCAGTGCTCTGGGTGGGTGGACCTGCAGGTCTCAGAGCTCTGCTGCTTCAGGGCCATGCTTGGGCTGGCATTGAGCTTGGCAGCAACTGAGGACCCTGTGTCCAAGGTCTCCTTCCCTAAATTCTCAATGGTGACACCTCTAAGGTGGGGGCTTCACTGACCCACAAACATCAGGGTGCAGTTACTGAGGGAGGAGAAATGGGTATTGGTAGCAACCAGTCACCTGCTACCCTGTACCATCAGTGAAGAAACTGAGGATCAAGGAGAAGCTGTGACCTGCCCAAGGTCCACAGCCCACGTGTGGCAGCAGTGGAAAGGTAAGACTAGACTTTGGCCACACACAATGAACTCTGTCACCATGTTAAAACTCCAGGAACCCGGCATCCTGCCACTCCTCTGCCTAATGCCTGTTCCCACCCAGACACCACAGAGGAGATGTGGTCCGAGCAGGGCTCTTCAGAAAGACTGAAAATGTGACTAACACACGTCAGTGAGGATGTGCCGGTGGGAATGAAGGCCGGCACAGCTTCTTGGAATGGGTGTGTTAGTTCAGATTAGGTTCAACTGTAAGAGAAACATCAAAAGTGGTTTGAACAAGATAGCCACTCATCTCTCTCACACGTTCCAAAAGTCATCTGAAGGTAGGATGTCTGGGGTCGTTACAGATGAGCTACAGTGTCCATGACATGGGTTCTATCCTGTTGCACTTCAGTGAGAAACTTCCATTCCCCAGATTACCCTATGGTTCAAGATGGCTGCTGTCACTCCAGCCATTATAAGCACATCCCACTCAGCCCGAAAGAAAGGCCACCTCCTATCCCTAGGGAAGTTGCATGCATACTTACATCCATTGGCCAGAACCCACCTGCAAGGAAAGTTAGGACATGCAGTCTTTATTCTGGACAGCTGTGTATCCAGCTAAAAATCAGGGATTCTCTTTCAATGGAGAAAAACAGCATATATTGGAGGACAACTATTAATCTCTGCAGAAGACTCATAAGAGTAATTAAAACTGATTAAGACTGTGTGCTCCAGCAATTCTACTTGCATGAGTTACCAAAAGCAAATTTGTAAGGATTGTTGATGTTGCCCTGTTTGTTGCTGGAAAATCTCTCAGAAACAAAAGTCCACCCCGAGGGAAGTGGTTTATAAATTGCCATATATCCACATGTATGCAGCTGCAGGGGTTAAGCAGTCCTGCACTTGACATGGAATGATCTCCAAGATCCACTGGAGCTACAGAATATTAGCATTAAGAAAGAGGGATGATACACACATCCATCGGTGTGAACACAGGATGGCTCTGGAAGGTTATGGAGACCCTGGGTGCTTCAGGAGGGTGACGAAGGAATTCAGTGCCACACAGGGAGATTTATCGTTCACCAAATACCCTACTGTACTGCATGAACCTTTTTTTTTTCTTGCCATGTACATATATGACCTATTTTTAAAAAACAAAAATTACAAAAATGCTGGGCACGGTGGCTCACGCCTATAATCCCAGCACTTCAGGAGGCCAAGGTGGGTGGATCACGAGGTCAGGAGATCAAGACCATCCTGGCTAACATTGTGAAACCCCGTCTCTACTAAAAAATACAAAAAATTAGCTGGGCATGGTGGCAGGTGCCTGTAGTCCCAGCTACTCGGGAGGCTGAGGCAGGAGAATGGCGTGAACCCAGGAGGAGGAGCTTGCAGTGAGCCAAGATGGCGCCACTGCACTCCAGCCTGGGCAACAGAGCAAGACTCCATCTCAACAATAACAACAACAAAAATTACAAAAATGGTCTCTTTTCTTCTGTTGATGCCTCTCTGCTCATTCACTGCACCCAGCAAACCTCAGCTGACACTGCCATCTTGGACTGCATGTGGATTTGATGGTCAAATCCCTGCTGGCCCCCAACCCTTACCCTGCTCACTCAGAATGCCGTGAGCTTGCCTTCCCTGATTACTAGGCTTTTACGTGAGCTGAGAGGCCTCAACAAAGTATGCCACTCAGGGGCACCCTGCAGTCCCCGCTGCAGCCCAGGAGTCCAGCTCACTGGCCATACTGTCAGCCCTGCCCACTAGCAACCCTCCTGGTCCTGGATCCCAGGGAGCCTGACACACTGGCGCCACAGACATGAGCTGTGTTGGAGCTGGTGCCCTCGGCACCCCGTTCCCGCCTAAATAAAGGCCAATCGTGGAGGCAAGCAACAGCCTGACCCTCAGGGTCCCCATGGCTGGGGCTGCGACCTCCTCAGGCTCTGAAGCATGCAGTTGGCTGTGTCCTGGGTGGGCCCCTGCTCTCCAACACTGGGGATTACATAACTGGCAGCAACTCCCTTTCACTCTGGCTGCCAAAAAGCTCAAAGCCGAACTCAGGTACAAGGGCAGTGGCAGGGACATGTGGGCCCCTCTCCCCTACTCACGCCTTATGATCCCAGTGCTTTGTTCTGATTTACTCCCATTTTTAGCCAACCACACCCATCCTTATGACAAACATCATTCCCCACATCCTGTCTGCTGAGGGTTTACTAGTGCCAAGCACTATTCTCGAGGCTAAAAATAAGAGCGATCCTTATCGTTCATGACTGTACGCCAGCCACTCACGCTTAGTGTTTTCCAATCCTTACAAAAGGCCCTGCAGGATGCGTCTTCTCCGGATTTTACAGATGGCAATAGTAAGTCCATTCTGAGTTTTACTGGAGCTGAGCAGAGGGAACCCGCTGCTCAAGACAACAGTGTGTGTCTCTGACACAGAAGGGAGAGGGGCTAGCTCACAAAACATAGTTCTCCTCTCTCTCCAGTGTCTGTCCCCACGACTCAGATGGGCCCGGGGCAGGGGCAGCTGGGATCCTGTTTCTCTCCACCTCCCCAGCAGCCAGTCCAGAGCTTGGGCAATGGGGATTGTTCCTTAGTTGAGCAAACAGAGGCCCCCTGAGCCTCCCAGCCCCTCACCCAGCCCTCAGGCTCCTGAAAGGAACCAGCGCCAGTATTCCTGCAAAACCTCCACATTAGCACCTTCTGCTCCTTTTCGTTTTTATTAAAAAATAGATCAAGAAAATATACACACTTCAGTCCATCCACCACAGTGGGCTTTGAGGAGGCCAAAGCACCATGGGGATGGGATGGAGGCATTGGGAGAGCCAGCCCTGCCCTCGTGCCAAGGATGCAGAGAAGAAGGGTGCCCTCAGCCAACCTTGCCAAGCATGGCCCTGGAAGGAAAGCCTGGGCCATGTCGCTGAGCAGTATGAGACCAGATGGGAAGGGAGGAGAGTCCCCAGTGAGAGCAGAGATGGCAAAGGGGATTGGGAGCCCCAGGGAGGTGGGGCCTCCAGACTCATGGTGGGAACAGGGCTACACAAGGCTACCGCCCACAGAAGGTCCCTTGACCTGGTCCTCCTCCCCCGGGGACACTGGGCCTGCTGGCCTCCATTCTGGCCTGTCCTCTGCAGGCCCTGGAAGCTGCTCTCAGGCATTGATGGCCTTCCAGCGCTCACTGTCCGTGCTGTTGATGCTGCCAGTGTGGCAGGGCATGGAAGCAATATCATCCAGGTAGGCCACCCCGCCCGCAGAGTCAAACTGTGTGCTTGAGTAGCTGGCAGCTGAGGCCCCAGCAGCCCCTGGAGCCTCCAGGCCCTCCCGCCGGGCCACAGCGTAGGGCTGGGGTAGGTGTACATCCGGCTCCTCTGTCTCGTCCACTTGGCATTTGTAGGAGAAGAGGATCTTGGGCTCTGAGCTGACAGGAGGGAGACAGGGGCACAGGAGCCTCACTGAGTGACTCAGGAACAGTCTTCCCTCCAGGCCAAAGGGGCCACCAGATAAGGAAGGAATCGGCCAACAGTTGCCTGATACCCACCCCAAGCAGGCCTGTCAGCTGGACCCTGGGGCCCATCTAGACTTGTTTTGGAACCCAGCCCTCCTCCCCCGACTGTGTGAGCTCAGGCAGGGGGCCTCTGTGCCTGCTTCCTCATGGTGAAATGGGTGCGTGCACACCGTGTGGAGGAAGAACGACATAAATCATGAGCCTTCAACAGCACCTGCCCAAGCGCTCAGGAAACATTGGCTGTGGCCTCCGCCCCACTCCTCTGACCCCTGTTGCTCATGTTACCGCCCGCTCCACCCTGATCTGGTCCCTCGGCCCTCAGGGTAACTCTCCAAGGGGGACACACTACACCCAATTTACAAAAAGGAGCCTGAGGCTCAGGAGAGAAATTGTGTCTGCAGATCCAAGCTGTGGCTGTGGGCCAGTCTGACCCTCTGCCAGCTTCACCCGGGGGGAGGCTGAGCCCCTCCCCACAAGACCTGGCAGGTGAGAAAGGAGGGGCAAAGCACCCACATTCCGACCACATTAGAGGCCTGGAGTGGGACCCCCAATCCCACGTCTTCAGCATCTCATCTCACAGATGCTTCTGCAGATGCATATGTGCATAGCAGTGTACTCACCCCCAGAGAATCCAACTGACTTCCCACCCCAAACCTGCTCCCCACTTAAGTCTTCCCCCAGCAGGGTACAAGCTCCATGAGGACAGGGATTTGCATCCACTGTGGGCCTCGCATCTTCTGGCTCTAGCAGTGTCTGGCACACAGTAGGTGTTCAATGAATGCTTGCGAATGAATGAGTTCATATATTATTAAATAAAAACCAGCAATGTAGGACAACGTGCACAGTCACTCTATCTCTCATGGTGAGAGTATGTCTGTGTGTACTGTACATACAAGGTGCATATATATGTATGCATATATGTATATGTGCATATATCTACATGTATGCATATATGTATATGTGCATATATCTACATGTATGTATATATTGAGCGCCTGGGTGTTCATGTGTGTATGCATGCATGTGGGCGTGCATGTTTGTGTGCATGTGCCTGTGTGTATCCGTATGTGTATGTTTGTGCATGTGTGCATGCCTGTGCATCTGTGCGTGCATGTGCACGTGTCCATGCACATGTTGGTGAGTGTGCATATATCTGTGTGCATGTGCATGTGTATCTGTACGCGTGTGCCCATGTGCAAGTATGTGCATGCGCATGCACAATGAATGCATACACAGCCCCTCTGTTTCAATCCTCACACCCATTCTGGAAGAAGGCGCAGTTCCGCCAGCAGCCACGCGGGGGCGCCGGCGGCCACAGACTCACCCAAAGAAGCCCCGGAGGAAAGCCACGTAGATGAGCGGAGCAAAGAAGCTGAAGTACAGGAAGGTTGTGGCATCTACACAGCTGCGGAGAAGACAGGTCAGTGCAGGGCCTCCCAGCCCTATGCTGACTCCACACCTCCCCATGCCCCCAGTGGGTGGACACCCTGCTGCCCACTTCCCATGCCCCCACGAGGTAGACACCCTGCAGCCCCCACGCACCAGAGCCCCTCGATGATGTCCAAGCAGAGCAGCACACTCCCCAGCCCCTGCAGTAGGTTGAGCAGTGCCAGGATGCCCGCATACACGTAGAAGCTCCTCCGAGCTGGGGGCCAGACAGGGTGGGTCGTGAGGTCCCACCCTGGCCAGGCCAGACTCTGCCTCCAGCATCTACCACCCTCAAGCCTGGTGTGTCCCTCGGGGCCCCCCTAGGCCTCCCTTTCACCCAGGGCTCTCCAGCTCCCAGCCACAGTGGCCCAGTAGATGCCCTCCCGTCCCCGCCTGTCCCAGAGCTGCTGGCCAGCTGCTCACAAGGCAGAGAGATGCGCTCCTTCAGCGGGGTCTTGGGAAGGACGACCACCAGAGAGTAGACCTACAGAGACAGGCAGGGCTGAGACAGTGCTGGGGGCGCCAGCCCTGACCCACAGCCAGAAACCCAGGCATCCAATCCCCTACCTGGCCCTGAGGCCCCAGCCACCCCAGTTGCCCCAGCCTGAACCTCACCAGGAAGAAGAAGCAGGAGCTGACCAGCCAGAACTGGCGGCCCCCATGGCCATAGATATTAAAGTCCTCAGCTGAGAGATGGGCATCAGGGTACAGGATCTCCAGGGTGCCCTGCAGGGGCAAGCAGGAAGGGATGAAGGGAGAGGATCTCAAGGCTCCTCCCTCCCAGGGGCTTTCCCTGATGCAAAGCCCCCTAAGCTCTCTACCACACCAAGTCCAGCCTCTTGGCCTGACCCTCAAGTCACCTGCCCCAGCCTGCTCCCAGGCCACGTACTGCCCACCTGATTATAGCACCCGGAGCCGGCCCAGTCTTGGGCTGAGTCACACGGGGCAGGGGGCAGAGACGGACAAGGTGCAGTACCTCCCCCCAATCTAAGAAAGGGGCCTCTAGATGCATGCTTCTCAGGGAGGTCTGCGGACCTGCACTGTCCCTACCTGAACTCCTTATTAAAATGGCAAGTCCTGAGCCTCCCGCCCTGGTGCCCTGGCCTACTGGATCCGAATCTCCAGGGGACCCCAGAATGTGCCTCGGTAACAAGCATCCCATGTGATTTCTCAGGTGCAAAGTTTTGGGAACTCTGAAGGTGACAAAGACTGGAAACCTCACCCAAGCCCAGAAGCAGTGGGTGCCTGGTGCCCTGACCCCTGGCATCTCCTGCCCAAACCCACCCTCTTACCTGGGTGACAGAGTAGGCCAGAGACAGCACTGTGGTGATGGCCAGCACCCGCTTGATGCTGGACTTGCTCTCCAGGTGGCCTGGAAGAAACGTGCTGGTCAGTAGGCAGGAGCCAGCCCAGGTGACCACGCCAGAGTCAGCCCACAGCCAGGGAGGGGCAGGGGAGAGCGTTGCCAGGGCCCCGGAGCCCAGCGGTACACACACCAAAGGCCAGGCCCAGGATGATCACACTCAGCTCGATGGCCAGCAGGAAGAAGCGGGTGATCTCCCACAGGATCTGCACGCAGAGTGGGCACAGCGTCAGCCCAGGCCAGCACCCCCAGCCCACCCCAGGCCAGGCCTCCCTGGCCTCCCTCAGAGGGCCCAGCCGCACCTTATCAGCAACAGTTGCAGCGTTCGAGGTGCTCACCGTCATGGATACCACGGCCCGGGCAATGCCCACCAGTGCCACCACAAACACCTGGTGGGCAAGGGAGTGGCGTGGTAGTCAGGGAACAAGAGCCTCTGCATCGGCAGGGGCAGTAAGCTCATCCCCATATCTATAGGAGCCTTTGGTTCCTGAGGTTGGAAAGGAGGAAGGGGCAAGTCAGGGTGGGACACAGGGAGGGGGGGATCAGGCTCCAGGGAGCAAGGCTCACAGACTTGCAGACCCTCAACTGCAGGTGTCCTCCAGCCTGGCCCTCCCCTCTTGGGGCCCCAGTTTCCTGGCTAGGAACAACAGCCTTGGGCTGGTGAGTAGGGGTGAGCACGGTGGAGCCAGATGGGCCAGGTTCACATCACAAGTAGCAGGCTGCTGCTTCCTGGCTCTGTACCTTAGCCTTCTCATCTATAAAACGGGGGCAGAAACAAAACCTACTGCATTTGATTGTTGGGTCAAATGGGTTAACAGATGCAGCAGAAGACTGCCTGGCACCTAGGAAGGGCCAAGTATACATTTGCTGTTATTATCATATTCATGGTTTTAATTCTGAGGCACGCGGGACCAGGCGAAAGGTCACCGACAACAGGTGCGGAGACCTCTAGGAAAGCCACCGGCCCAGCAGGTTTCGCAAAAGGGCCTGCTCAGCATCTGTGGCACTTATCGGCCTGGTATATCCATCCCCTTCCTCTCCCTCCTCACCCCCACTTCAGTGGTTCCAGGTGAGGCTGAGTCCCCCGCTCCTGGCTTCAGGGATGGGCCTAGGACGCAGCACTGGCCAGTGGTGTGTGTCATTCCCCTGGCCTGAGGGCTGGTTCAGGGAAGTGCATGGAACCCACGGGAGCCCCATGAGAGAGAACCAGGATGTCAGGTGCAACTGCTGGGAAAGGCAGACCAAGGGCATGCAAACCTGGAACCATGGACGCCACCCTGCTGCCACAAGGGCAGATGGCAAGAGAGCAGGGCCATCGGGGAGATCTCAGGCTAAGTGGGAGATGGAGATGGTGCCCCAGCACCACTGCTGTGCCCCAAAATCCTGCTGTGCCTGAGGCCCAGGAACTGCCCAGTTTCTCAGTCAGAAACTGGCTTCTGTGAGTCTCAGTTGGGTTTTCTGACACATGCCCAGATCCATATATACTCTGTCTTTTATGCCATGAGAAATTGTGTCAGCAGGGCAGGCAGCAAAAGCAACAAACTGCCAAATGCCTACTGTATGCCAAGCTCCCACTGGGCTGCAGCTATGCAGATGACCTCATAGGTGCTCATACGAACTCCATAGCTAAAGCAGATCAACATCTATTACACAGAAGGGCACTGGGGCACAGAGAGACCAAGCCACTGGCTCCAGGTCACACAGCAGCATGGCTGGGGTTCAGAGCTGGACTTCCTGAGTCCACTCTTACCACTGCCTCCTGAACTGTTTAGGACAAAGTCCTCAAAAGTTGATGGGCTGGGCCCTGTTCTATGTTCCTGGACATTTAGCCCTGGCTCTTTCCTCCTGCCTGCACTCCCCCTTATCCCACAAAAGGACATCTGCCTAGCATACAGTAGATGTTTAATATCTGTTGAATAAATACACAAATAAGTAAATGGGGAGAGAAGCAGAGAAGAAAGCAGGCCTCAGTTCCCAGTCCTGTCCATCACCATCTTGCAGGTGTAAGGGCCATCAGGCCACTACAGCCTCCAGGCTTCCCCAGTCCCTTGTCTCTCTGCCTGCCCACAGCCCACTCCTCTGACTGGGAAGTTCTGGGCTAGACCACAAAGAGGCAACCAGGGAGCCACTCGGCTCTCATGTAGTGGTATCTAAGGGTGGACTCTAGCCAGGCAGGCCCTGCAGGCAGGGTAAGGGCGCCCTGAAGGAAGGGAGCTGGACAGCCCACACCCGAAGCCCATACCTGGACAGCCCGCACCGAAAGCCCACACCTGGACAGCCCACACCTGGACAGCCCACACCTGGACAGCCCACACCTGGACAGGCTGCACCTGGACAGCCCTGAAGTCCACACCTGGATAGCCTGTCCCTCAACAGCCCATACCTGAAGCCTATACCTGACAGCCCCCAACCAGACAGCCTGCACCTGGATAACCCCCACCTGAAGCCCATTACCTAGACGGCTCATACCTGAAGCCCGCACCTGGACAGCCCATACCTGGGTAGTCCACACCTGAAGCCTTCTGCAGCCCACACCTGCACAGCCCAGACCTGCGGCCCATATCTGGAACCTGCATCGAGACTGCCCACACCTGGAACCCACACCTGAAGCCTATACTCAGAGCCCACACCTGGAGCCCATACCTGGAGCCTATACCTGGACAGCCCACACCTGGAGCCCACACCTGGAGCCCACACCTGGAGCCTATACCGGACAGCCCACACCTGGAGCCTATACCGGACAGCCCACATCTGGAGCCCACACCTGGAGCCTACACCTAGAGCCTATAACGGGACAGCCCACGTTTGGAGCTGCCTTCTCAACCACAGCCCTGACACCTCTCCCCAGGCAACATGTGCCAGGACCACCAAGTGGTGAGAATGCAGGCTCTCCCAGCAAGTAAGATGTCTTCTCCAAAGAGGTTTCACAGAATGCACAGATAAGGGACGAAAGGTTGGTGGATGCAGTGGGCATTTTCCCTACCCAGCATCCATTCCCCTCCCCTCTAGTATCAGCTCCCCAGTTCTGTTGTAGGGACCACCTCCCTCAGTCCATATGGTCCGGCTGAGCTGATGCTGCCCTCCCAGCTTCACAGAGCCCCTTTCCTTCCTAGCCACAGTGCTTGGCTCAGGGATGAGGATGGGATCCCAGGTGGGCCAGTCAGAGGAAATCCCAGGTCTACACTGGCACTATCAGCAAACAGGCACTGTCTGCCTGAGTTGTAGAGGCAGGACGTTAGCTCAAAGCTGTTCTTGGCCATCTTTGACACCATATGAGGGGAACTCATCAGAGATAAGTCCCAAAGACAGCAGAGATGCAGAAACAGATCTTAACAGCATCATTTAACTGCCTGGATCCAGCCATACCTGAAGCTCATTTTCATTATAGAAGCAGCTAATTCCTTTTTGTTTCAGTTGTGTCGTTGGCTTTTCTGTCAACTGCAGTGAACTCACCAGGATGTAGAAGGTGATAAAAATGGGGCTGGAGGTGATGCGGATCTTGGCCCGAGCAGATGGAAGCTTCCAGAGCAGGAAGATGAGGAAGAGCACATTGGGGATGAGCAGCAAGAGGTCCCAGTACCGGACCCTGGCAGACAGGCAG